GGATTTTTTGTTGTTGGAAATGAATGAATGGATTTGCATTTGTTGACTATTCACTCTTGTAGTTTGAAATGAGGTGGACTGGAAGGTACAGGCAAAGAGAATAATTATTATTCTTTAAATATATTTTATTGATTTTTTTTACAGAGAGGTAGGGAGAGGGATAGAGAGTTAGGAACATCGATGAGAGAGCAACATCGATCAGCTGCCTCCTGCACACTCCCCACTGGGATCTGCCCGCAACCAAGATACATGCCCTTGACCGGAATCGAACCCAGGACCCTTGAGTCCTCAGGCCGATGCTCTATCCACTGAGCCAAACCCGTTAGGGCAACTAATTCCCTTTTAATGTGCACGAATTTCGTGCACCGGGCTATATATTAGAAGGTAAAGGTACATTTTTTTTGAACTGTATTTTGTAATGATAATAAGAGATGTCAAATTTTATTCATGTTTTTTATTGCGTTCATTATAAAGTGAGATTTTTAGGACCAAGAGTGAGTAAGTAAAGTATCAAGATACTAAAATGAAGTTTAATTTAGAGTTTGTCTGCTTTCCAGGGAGTGCTGTAAACTCTCGGATGTTGAGATGCATGATTCCAGCAACTCTAATATCAGAGGATTCTGTGGTTAAGGCGGTCTCCTGGCTTTGTGTTGGCAAGTGTTGTGGTAGCACCAAGGTAATCTTTTTAATCACTTTGAAAAGAAGTCCTTCAGAACCACTTAAGGCAGTGGTTCTCAACCTTGGCTGCACATTAGAATCACCTGGGAATCTTTTTAAAATCCTGATTTCTGGGCCTCATCCTCCGGCAATTCTGTTTCTTTGTTATGGAAGGGTTGGCAAGGACGAGCCACTTATGGAGTAATGGTACTGGCCTTTTGTGCAAAGCCTATGGTTTTGGAACAACATAGCTTGATGCAAGGACGCTGTTCAAACAGAAATTTTTACTGAGGGATAAAATCTACCAACTGGCTTTGTGCTAGAGGCTTCTAAAACAGCCCTGAGGGGGGAATTAAGTTCTTCTGTGCCACTTATATTTCTCTAAAGATAAGCATTTGTCTCTCAATAGGTACTTTTTTATCGTTGGCTGGTTGCAATGTTTGACTTCATTGATCACAAGGAGAAAATTAACTTGCTCTATGGCTTCTTTTTTGCTTCATTGCAAGATGATGCACTGGTAAGTAAAAATTGAAGAGCATCATGCATCAATCAGATGGCATGTGCTTGTATATTGACGTACCACATGTGCTTCAAAGTGCCACACAATGTGTTTTTCCTTATTTGAAAAGATAGCAAAAATAGAAAAGTATAAAGAATAACATTACACCCTTGCACCTGTCTCAGATTAACAAATATAATTTTTTTACTGTATTTGCTTTATATCTTCTTTTAAGGAAATACAACATTACAAATATAATTAACTCCGCATTGGAGTCTCTTTGCTGACCGAGAGCAGTGATTCCTATCTTTTCCCTTTTAAAACACTTACATGGTGTCTTTTGGGTCATTTATTCTACATTTTCTTGATTAACACTGCAAAATCTTCATCAGAATTAATGAGGAGAGGGTTGCTTTTCATGAGATGCCAGTAGACTGATTTTGTTTGAATAGCATAATTACTCCCATTGAAAACATGAATAATTCTAAGAAAACAATCTACTGTCCACCTGGAAGACTTCAAAGACCATGTGAACCATTCATCTAACCAAATTCCTCTAATTTTTAAAAATTGACATTTCTACTGTGTTCATTGCATTGAACTAGGCAGTGCAGAAGATTCAAAGTTTAGCAGATGGTTTCTGTATTCCAGGGATTTATAATCCATTTGGGGGATTAAGGAAAGCACATAAAGTTAAATAACTCAAGAACTAAATTATCAAAGACAGTATATAATAGTGTGAGGAGAATAATTGATGCGATATTTCCTGGAAGGCAGAGAAAACTAAACCAAAGTGATTAGACAAAGCATTATAAAGGGTTTGGGTATTGAGCTGTGCCTTGAAGATTGAATAGGATTTGAGATTTGATAAAAAGAAATGATGTTTGACAGGACTATTCCAAGCAAAGTTGTGAGATGTGTAGATTGTGTCTAAGTAAGATAGGAGACCTTAAGTAGACGGACTGATTTACAGTTGGTGTGAGGCGGTGGTGGGTTGTAAGGCTTGAAAAGTTGAGTGAGGAGAGATTGTAGAGATTTCTGAATGTGATGCTAAGGAATTGAACTTTATCCTCTGTTCAGTGGGGAAATCATTGAAAAAGTTTGGGCAGGACATGTTGAAAGGAACATTGTAGGAAGCTGTATCTAGTTATGCCAAACAGTATGAATTAGGAGGGAGGTTAGAGTTAGGAAAACTATTTAGGGGACTAATGTGGTAATCCAGGTACAATATGACGAAGTTGTAGACTGGCAATTCTTAAATGTTTTGTGGTCTCTTTGAGGCTCCCTGAGACCTTTCAGACCTCCTGAAAATTATTTTCATAGCAATATCAAGATGTTATGTGTTATTTTCACTGTGTTTGCATTTGCACTGATGGTGCTAAAGCAATGGTGGTTAAAACTGCTGGTGCCTTAGCCCGAATCAGGACAGTGGAGCCAAGCTCTACTAGTGGTCATTGTATTCTTCACTGCAGAAAAAAACAAGAATGCTAGTTTCACTTAAGCATGTCCCAAATGAAGTAGTAAAAATCAACTCATTAGTTTTATTAAATTTCAACCTTTAAAATATGTCTTCAATATTCTGTGTGATGAAATGGAAAGCACAAATAAACCTCTTCTGCATACTAAAGTACAATAGGTGTTTTGAGGAGAAGCACTTGTATGATTGAGTTATGAGCTAAACTATTAGCCTTTTTTCATGAAATACCATTTTAAATTGAAAGAATGACTGACATATAAACTGGTTATTTAGACATGGGCATTTGGACAGATGGTGAGACTGTCATTTCAAAGAAAACAAATGGCAATATTTGTTGCCAATGGCAAAATTTGAGCTTTCAAGTAAAAATTCTAAGTTTACAAAATTTGTATCTGCAATTGTAAACTTTACAACTTACATAAAGACTTAGAGAGCCCTAGCTGGTTTGGTTCAGTGAATAGAGCATCAGCCTGCGGACTGAAGGGTCACAGGTTCGATTCCAGTTAAGAGCACATGCCCATGTTGTGGGCTCAACCCCCAGTAGGGGGCGTACAAGAGGCAGGTAATCAATGATTCTCTGTCATCATTGATGTTTCTGTCTCCCTTCCTCTGAAATCAATAAAAATGTATTTTAAAAAAGACTTAAAGACTTTTCAGATGAGATTGGTAGTTGCAGTATTAATGAATGTGATTTTTATTTGTTAAGCATTTTTGTTGTTGTTAATCCTCACCTAAGGGTATTTTTTTTTCATTGATTTTTGTTTTTTTAGAGAGAGTGGAAGAGAGGGAGGGGGAGGAGAGAGAGAAACATTGATGTGAGAGAGACAGACCGATTGGTTGCCTCTTGTGCCACCCGGCTGGGGATCGGACCTGCGACCCTTCAGTGTGTTAGTCAATGCTTTAACCACTTAGCAACACCAGCCAGGACATGAATATGATTTTTATTTTTTTTAACTTTAAATTTGTTTTTATTGTTGATAGTATTACAGATATCTCCCATTTCTCCCCTCCTTCCCCCCTTCCTTCAGCCGTCACACCCCGCCCCAGGTCTTCACTACCCTGTTGCCCATGTCGATGGGCTATGCATATAAGTAAATAAATTCTCTTCTCATCCCCCCAACCCCACATTGAGGTATGTCAGTTAGATATTGTGTAATTAAATGTATCAATATTTGGAACTCAGTGAACCAATATATTCTAGATGATATAAAATCATGCATGTATAAAAATTCATTCAAAATGCAAGATATATCAATGAATTTTAATGGAACAGAGTAAATGTTCATTGATAAGGTTTCAGAATCCACATAGCCACTAACCTTTAAGAAACTACTTCTTAATCAAGTTTTTGTATAGTACCAAAGACTAATATTCACAATTTTCTGAAAAGGCTATTAAAATACTCTTTTCTTTTCTAACTACATATCTGTGTGAGGCTAGGTTTTCTTCATGTACTTCAATCAGAACAACATGGCTTTTTTAACTTTAATAATTTTTTATTTTTCAATTACAGATGACATACAATATTTTATATGTTACTAAGTGATCACACCAATAAATCTAGTACCATCTGACACCATACATAGTTATTACAATATTATTGACTATATTCCCTATGCTGTACTTCACATCTTCATGACTGTTTTGTAACTACCAATTTGTACTTCTAAATCCCTTCACCTTGTTCACCCATCTTCCTGACCCCCTCTTACCTGGCAATAGTTAAAATAGAACAGCATATCTTAACATGTTCAAGGAAGAAGCAGAGAATCTAACTGTATTCTACTAAGGCAGAAACAGTGAAGGAATTTGTAGAAATGTAAGTCTGTGCCACTCTAGTCAATTTTTTGTTGGGAAAATATAGTTATTTTTCAAAAATGTCATTTATGTTAGCATGTACTGGGTTTATTATTTTTCATGAATAATAAACGTTTTAAAGTTTCTAATATAATGAATATTGATAGATATCCATATAAATGAAAGCTTTTGGGGAAGGGGGTCTCTAATTTTTTAAGAATGTAAATATGAGACCAAAAAGTTTGAGACTCACTGTCCTAGACCAAAGTGGTGGCAGTGAGAATAAAAAATTGAAAAGATGTATTTTAGGGGAAATTATAAAGGAAGAAGTGACATGAGCTGGTACTTAAATTGGATTAAGGGAAGGGTCAAGAAATAAAGATCTGTGTTTTTAAGTCAGCATGACTCAATGATGGTAGCTTTGATACTAAAAGGAAATTTGTGAGAAGGAGATAGTTTGGAAGGAATATATTAAATATAAACTATGCCAGGTATTTAACTAGTATTGCAAATACAAATATAAATAAGACATAATAGTTAACTCATGTGAGGATTATATGCCAGGCACTAGGTGATTTATATGTAGATACAGTATTTCATGAACTCCAAGATACCTTCAGTTGTAAGATGCATCATTATCTTATGGACCACTATGAAAGAATTCTACCATTAATACTGTCACATAACATTGATGACAGGATTAGTCCTATTTTCAGAGATGTTAAAATGTAAAAGAAAGAAATGTTAGAAGACTATGTAAAGTATTTCTCTTGGTTCTGAGAATCTGAAACTTCTTTTTTTCCCTTACTTCAATATTCTTATTTTACTGGATTTTGAGACAGAGAGAAAGACATCAATTTGTTGTTCCACTTACTTATGCACTCATTGGTTGATTCTTGTATGTGCCCTTGGCATATTGGGACAATGCTCTAACCAACTAAGTAATCTACCTGGCCAGGGCCTTACTTCAATATTCTTTTTGGTTTTAAATATATTTTTATTAATTTCAGAGAGGAAAGGAGAGGGAGAGAGAGAGATAGAAATGTCAATGATAAGAGAGATCAGCTGCCTCCTGCATACTCTCCAGTAGAGGTGGAGTCTGCTACCCAGGCATGTGCCCTCACCAGGAATTGAACTGTGACCTCCTGGTTCATAGGTCGATGCTCAACCACTGAGCCACACAGGCCGGACTTACTTCAATATTCTTGGGGGCAAAACATTTATTGAGTACCTACTATTTTTGTACTTTGTCCAATACGATAGCCACTGACATAATATGACTAGTGAGCACTGGAAATGTGGCTAGGCCAAACTGAAATGTGCTGTAAGTGTTCAATACATACCATTTTTATTCCCACTTTAGAGATGAGGAATCTGAGGCACAGAAAAGTCAAATAATTACGTAGGGTCACATGACTAGAGCAAGGATTTATGGAAAATTATATCATTTCCGTTTTAGAGATGAGACAACTGAGTCCTGGAAAGTTAGGTAGCTTTGCTAAGGAAAGCCACTAGTATGAGGCTGAGCCTAGAAGGTCTTTACATTTAGTAAGGGAAAAGATAAGTACAGTATGATGAATCCTGTGATAGTACCCATAGGGTTCTATGGGGGTTTGAGGAGAGGTATCAGAATAAGACTAGGGATCAGGGTTAGAGTTACAGAAATTGGTTTTCAACAGGGACAGAGATACCTCTCCTGACAATAAGCAAAAAGGATAGGTGTTGGTGCTAACAAATTTGTGGG